AAGAAAACAAATTTCCTTATAAAACAAACTATTTGGTGGAACATTAATGGCAGTAATAGATGGTGTATGTGGATGTAATTTAAGTACTATTTGACCATGAAGAAGATTAAAAATATGTAATGTACCATCAGAAATAATCTATCCAAAAAAAAATAATAATAAAATATCTCCACAGTATCTTAATGAAATGATTTAATTTCTTTTGTGCCTGATGACAGAAAATAGTTGCAAGTTTTTATTCAAAAATGATCTATCTATTGAACATAATTGAAATCTAGAACTATCTACTTCAATCGAAAAGTTTTTTCTGCTGACTGTTACGGTACAAATGTTTTCCTATGTTCATCAAGAAATGAAGAAAAAGTCAAATTGTTCCAGAACTTCAGAGCAATGTGATGTTTGTTTTTTTTAAATATTTTGAGCTTAGCACCATTATAAGGTGATGAATACCGAGAAAAGTTAACTATGGTAGTCGCACAGATTTCTCAGAAATTTGCTATGTAAGAAAATGCAAGAGAATTCTGTGACGCTTTGAAGAAGCCAGATGACTTACGAGGGAGTTATCTCAACTGACACTTGCCGTTTGAACCTAGATTGGATTCACAGGCAGGTTTCAATGAAATTATCAAAAGTCTGAAATGGTTTATTCTCATGGGCTTTTGTCGTTGAATTATGATCGCTTCACTGGATTTTCGAGTCATTTGTAGGTAGTTCTCGAAAAACCAAATCACGAAGTTTTGATCTAAAATATTGTCTATAGGTAGATCTAATAATTCTTAGAATATCCTGAAAGTTTCAGCCGAAAAGAATGTTCCTTCGTCAAGATATTGGCTTTTCAGAAGATGCCTAAATGGGTCGAGCATCTAATACATTTATCATAACTTACGACCAAAGGCCTATGAAAACGAACTACTCAAAACATTTGCTAGTCTTACTAAGGTCTACCTGTAGGTACAATATGAGTTCAAACGGTGGGCATCATTTGTGGTAGTTTCCTTATTAGTAGTGCGCAGTTATCGTTACCAGGTAACAGGGTAATGGAAAATTTATGGATTTGATTCTTTCGGCAAAGAATGACTGTTAAAGGAAAATCCCGATCTCTTATAACATTTTATAGAAAACTTTCTATATCGAGGAAAATTTATAAGAGATCTTGATTTTCATTCAACAACCATTTCTTGACAAAAGAATCAAATTCACGACTTTTTCGTCACCGTTATTTCATAATGTAACAGTAACTTCCCTTCCATGTATAAACTCGCAAAAAGTCAAAAATTACTAATAAATTAGTTTTAAGATTGAGGAAAATTAAAGAACATGACAATTTGAATTACAGAAGCCTAAAATCTGTCGTTTATCTTTTCCAGAAAGTGTCAAATTTTCTCTTTTCACTAAATAATATAAGTTTTAATCAATATTATTAAACTTTTTGATCATGAATAAAAACTTGCAATTCTTCTCTACCATACGGTCGAAATACAGTAAAGAGTTTTTATTCTGTCCTAGATTACTTCTAAAATATTCGGTCTATAACAAATTAACTTACTAATCCATTAGCATCAAAACGAAGAATTTCATTTCGATCTTCTAATTGATAAATTCTTATTGTATCATCAACACTACTGGTAACTATATAGGTATCTTCAATAGGTATGACACCCATTATACGATCTGTATGTGAAACAACAAGACGAATTTTTGTTCGTTGTGTTGTCCAACAAATATACCATAATGATCTACATGATGTACCAACAATATCTATACTAAATGTATTATCAAATGATCCACTAATAATTTCATCATCAAGTTGAAATTCATCTTGTAGTGTTAAGCTATAATTTCTATGAAAACAAAATTTTTTTTTGTCTTGTCAAATTATTTTTTAAGATAATGCTTACGGATCATTAGTATTTGTTTGTCCTAAGTTAACTTCAAGATTTTCAATATTCCATAATCTTAAACGACCAATCGATAAACCAGTTAATAATTTATATTTACTTGTTGTCATATAACATATTTCATTTGAATCAGCTTTCTAATGAAGAAGGCATAAATTTCTACGCGTATTCCAACATGTGACAAAACTAGAATTAGTTGAACAAAGAACAAGATGAGAATTTGATATTAAATAAACACATAAAGTTATTTCACATGAATTTTTTGTATGTTCACTAATTGATAATGGGATTTGTCCATTAACAACTTATAATTGTATATTTGTATAATTTGTTTGTTCAATAATTGTACAAAAACGAATACAATCATTTGAACAATCAAGACAAAATTCATTTGTACGCATCGGATTCCAAGCAAGACAATTCATATAAATTGATGAAGATTCATCTTGCTAATTAAGTAAATTCGTATAATCATGTGTCGACCATAACGAAAGCAATGGTTTTCGATAATCACCCATAGTAATGAGAAAACGATCGTCTCTATAAAATAATAATGACAAAAGTTATCTATGATATACTTTAACAATGAAACTCATTGAACTGATCATCTCAATATCTATAGATTTTTATTGTTTTGAAATGCGATTCAAAGAGTGGCTATCAGAACTTTTGTTTTTGGACTTATTAAATCTTTAAAGTTTCGGGATATTTTTTTTCAATAGCATGTACCATGGAAGTATGATGTCTTCAAAATATTATTGTATAACATATGCTGTCATACAAACTTCTTGAGGCCACTCTGTCTCAAAAACTGATCTCAGCTCAGGTACGTTCAAATAGCATGAAATTTTCAGAATATGTTGGAAGTGTAGTAGAGTAGCTATGATAAAATTTTTAGCCTCAGATCATGACGTTTGAGCGAGACAATCATCAAACAAGGGTTAAAAATAGCTTATTTTGTGTCCAAAATTTCTTGGTGAAGGTTCGTGCTATATGTTTAATTTTGTGAAACACGATTTAAAAGAAGTGTTGAAGTATATAGAGTGGAATTTTGCATTCCTTCCCCCCCCCTCCCCTCCTCCCCACAGATCGTGACAGACAGGCTCCAGAGACTATCACAGATCGTGACACACGTTTCCAATCCATGATTAGCAACCATATTCAATAACATCTCACTAGAATAGATAAACTTCTTCGTTATTGTAGTCCTACAGGATTAAATAAAAATGACGAAAAAATGAATTCGAAGACAGGTCGAATAAAACAATGTTCCGGTGATTAGTAACAACAGCTACATCGTGTTTCACATTTTAATCCCGCAGGGATTGAGCTAACAACTTTTTTTGAAGCTATTTTAATTAAATTGAATAATATTAATTAAAATATTAAACGATGACTCACATCCTAAATAAATGTGGTACAGTAAAGTGTAAACAAAAAGACGTGTTAGATCAAAGAGAAAAAAGAGGATATAGACAAAAATATTAGAATACATTCATAGGAAGGGAGCAGAAATATGTCAAAATCTCTTTGAATACGCTCAAAAATTGAAGTAACCGATAAATGTGAAAAAACACAGTTGTTCAACTGTTTTCTACACAAGTTGTTCAACCTAACATACAAATATATATGGATGAAAAGCAACTTGAATGTGTGAAAAGATTCAAATATTTAGGATTCGAATGGACAGGCAAACTTTCTCTCGAATGACAACTGAAGTATTGAGACTATATTTCTTCGCATATAGTTTTCCCTTTCTTTGCCCTGCTACCTTCTGTCCAACAAACGGTATTACAACGCAAGTTTATAGTAGACTTAAGAATAGTACACATAGAAGTCCATTTATTCCAGTTCATGAAATTCCATCAGTATTAAAAGAACATTTATTGGAATCATATGTTACAACCTATTTACATAAGTGTTTGAATCGTGCATTCAGTGCAGATTTAGAGGTTTCTTTTTTCTATAACGATTCATTTTAACTGAGCTTTTCTCATAAGCAAAGGTAAACAACAACAAATAGATATATGCCAACAAAGTTTGAATATAGAACATTTCTTCAGATTAGCAAGTATGAGAAAAATGGTGGAAAGACACGAGTCACTCTTAATTCAATGGATCCACTTTATAAAGAACCACTCAGAGAAAGATGAAACCTGATTCCCTTCCTTTCTTTTAGCTTTGTTCCCTATTTTTCTCTTTTTTTTTGTTTTTCTTTTACATTTTTGTTTATTGTGCATCCTTTGCATTCTTTCTACCTGTTCCTTTGTTACCATGTTATCTTTGAGGTATCCATTTGTGTCGTGTTTCTTTCTCCTTAATGTTTGTTATATCCTTGCCTCCTCGTATCACGTTATCCCATTATAAGCGTCTACAGACGTAATAAATCAGGCATACTCAAAAAAAAAAACTAGAATAAAGACAAGCATACACATACACACAACAAAATGACGAGAAAAAAATATATATAGTAAACAACGATGAATGTTGTTAGAGTACTCTCTAATACATACAATACAATGTTACTAAAAGTAATTCTTTCTTCTTCTTTTGTTTTGGTCTCTTTTTGTCAGATATATTTATTGGTATATTAGAAATAAAAATAAAATAAGTAAAATAAAAATAAGATAAGTAAAATTAAAATAAGATAAATAAAATAAAAAGAAAAGAATAATATTGGATAAATTTTTAATTTTAATGATGATCTAAAACTATAGGTACCTAATCTATCGATGTGCACAAACACTCGTTTGGGGAAATTTTCGAAAGAATATTATGTTTGGAGAAAGTTTTTTGTAAATTATTGTTTAGGAATGTTTGTTTGAAGCTGCGAAGTCTATGGAAATTCGTCGAGTTATTTTTTCGTCCAGGGAAAATATCCATCTTTATGGCCGTTGCTGCACCTATCTGGAAAGCATAGTTTTTCACCAAATATATTTTGTTCAAATTTTGTTAGATCAATACATAAGCTATTTTTAATATAATTATCAAGTTCAGTTAAATATTTTTTTGCTAGGGTTGTTGTTCGACTGAATACTTCTACTACTTCTTCTGTACATGGATCATATCGTGTAGCACCTTTTGTTAAACATGTATACATTAATGCATAATGAGTATAATCGGTTTTTGATATAAAATAAGGCCAATTAACTTTTGTATTCTTATTGATATCGTCTGTTTCAACAATCATTTTTGCACCATCATATGCAAAAATTGACCATGGACCAAATGAAAAACATTCCTTTCCATTAGGTAATCGTGCTCTACCGAAAGCAAGAACATGTCGATTAATACAATTGTCTAATGCAAAAAATTGAGAATAATCAACCCATGAATCAGATGGATTATGATTTTTTTCACTTGTGTAATATTTTATTTGGTGCCATTGACCAAGAAATTTTTCTAGACAAAAACCTGGTTGAGCAGTTATTTGTGATAATGAAGGTCTTTTACATCCTATTGAATTATTAATTAATAAAAACAATCCTATCATCAAAAACCAATACATGTTAATGTGTTGTCTTGTTTTGATTAAAGATATAAAATAAACATAGAGAAGTATACCTGTGCATGTTGCTTATATACAAAACGAACTACTGATATAATTTAGTCAAATATAAAATGGACAAATCAGAAGTAGGTAAACAAAGTGATTTGATGTATATCGCCCTTGTTTTTCGATGTAATTTTAGAAAACAGTAGTATTCTTTGGTAGGAAAAAAACACAGAACAATAGCTGTTGGACGTTTTTTTTGATTGGATAATCTGATATCTAACTAATACTTCATAATAAGATCAGCCTTCAATTTTTCATTATACTCTGTTTTAATTTCAAGACATCAGTTGATTGATGAACTTTGATGTATATTGTAATCAAGGCTTCTGAATATGAATTAGTGTTAGACATGGGTCAAATTTTTGTGACTTGGTCTGATCCGAGTCGCACTCTGTTGCCAATTGCTCTTGTCTTGCTCTTGAGAAGATCAATTTCTTGATCCTTTTTTCTTCCCTATATTTCGTAGTTGGAACTACACAAATTATGTCATTGAATTTTTTCTTGTTTGCCTTTCTTTTTCTTATGCATAAAAATTTCCATCTTTATATCAGCATAGTAGAGACAGTGCACACGCTATGCATCATTGTCCAATATCAACAAAGAAAAGTCAATGAAGTAGAAGAAAAGAACGTGCAATACATAATTTTTTGTTCTACTAAGCTTTTGCAGACTCTCTTATAGAACTTCTAAATGAAAAAAAAAACATTCAAAGTGTCTTCTGTATATGCAAAACGTTTAGATTGCACAACCACTCCAAAGTCCAAAAATTTTTTATTGTTATTCAACCCGACCCAACGACAACTTTTTTTTTTTGATCTAACCTCTGTCGAGTACTGACATTAATGTTTATTATTGAGGGGTTAAAATTATCAACGTACTATACATTTGACGTCGTCATGAAGAATAAGTCAAATGATTTTTATATCCTATGATATAGTTTTTTCGAACCTAACATTCAATACGATATAAATATTACAAACAAAATATATTTGAATATCAATAAAAAAATCAAGCACTTTATAAACAATTTCGTTATGATAACAATATTTTAGACATATTTTTTCTCTGATATTTACGAACTTAGTTAACATGATTATCGATTGTTAATCTAATGTAGATTCATAATTAAATAAGAAGTATAATGGTTTTTGAAGCTTGTTCAACTCGATCATTCCTTTATATCATTCTTATTCTCTTACCAGTTATACTTTATATTTTCCATATCTAATTCGAAAGAAAAATATCAATTTTTTGACCTTTACTATAAAATTAATCGTATTATAAATAAATATTAGCATAGAAAAGAAAATATCAAAATAGATCATCATCTAGATTATTCTGCATATTTTTTTCCAGCACCGAAGATAATTGATTAGAAATGAAGAAAAGTATCAAATAACTTTCATTTTTATCGATAAATACAAAAAGAATTTCGTTTTTCAAAAAACACCATTACCTATAACGAAACTGTTCAATGACAAATGAACCTAATGAACAACTTGTTAAAAGAAAAACGATACTATGCGAATGACACAAGTTTAACATCTATCCAGACTGTATGTAAATGTGACCTGCAATACATAACATAAGATAGAATGAACTTCTTTTTGTTTATTATTAGCATTGTTTAGCCCTATGATCATGTCGGTTCTAAAGGAACAATTGAACTTTCAGATCATAGATACCCATAATGAACTACATTAAAATATAATAAAAGGAAAAAAGTAAAGTAAAACAAAGAAATAACATAAAGAAAAAATTGAAGCGTGAAACAACAAATACGATATGAAGTAAGAAAAAGAAAAATACAATAACTGTGGAGATACGATATTTTACAGAGATGAGTAATACCTATATATATATATGTTTTTTCTTTTCTTTTCTCTCGTTCTTATCTCTTCTAGATTCGAACCACAATCCTTAATCCACGTTAGATTTTTCTTCTTTTCTCTGCGTCTCCTCTCTCTCTCTCTCTATTATTTTTCTCTTCTTTTTTTTGTCAACGTGATCTAGAATCGATTGTCTAAAAACTTTCTGGAAATCAAACAAAGCATAAAAACTCTTCTTCGTTACATATCCAGGGTAAATTCATCCTATCGGATCTAAAGTCATCCGACAGTTTCCGATAGTCGGAATTCGATCGGATTTCGATAATGGGAGCTTGTCGAATCCGAAGAAATCCGATGGTATGAAAGTATATATAGATACTTTATTTCATTTATTTTATTTTTATTTTCTTGTATTTTAATTATTTTATTTTCAGTTTATTTTTATTCTATATTTATTTTGCTTATTTTATTTTCATTTGATTGTATTTTTTTTCAATCATTGATTTATTTTATTATAGATTTATTTTATTTTACTGTATTTTTATTGAATTATTTATTTTATTGTATTTAAGTTAATTCACTGTGTTTTATTTTATTTTACCGTTATTTTAAATTTATCATTCAATAATTGAATTTAATAAAAAGTTAATATAAAATGGATTTAAATTGTTAATTTACTGCTAGTTGCATGATCGGAAGAAAACAGGGAGAAGAGGGAGATGAAACAAGGTCTAATGTTCAGATGTTAATTCTACAGGATTCTGTTGAATTCTTAGTGTTCCTCTATGTCATGGGCACGGGTAGGCTTCAAAACAATCAAATTTCTTAGGTGTGAAGATTTAGTCACTCTTTTTATTTCATTTTAACTGGTATATATCCTAGAAAAAACTTAAGTAGCCTTTCTTTTCTTACTTGTTCCTTCTTTGAGAAAATCAAATTTTTCGATGACAGTGACAAAACTCATTTCAAATGCGCTCGTGTTTGGAGACTTTCATTATCAAAACTTCAAATTCCAGCAAGTTAACTATCATATTCGGAATTAGCATAAAAGATCGAACTGAAATGCATAGACTTTTATAAGAAATATTTTCCATCGAAATTCAATCCCTACTTTCCCTTGATATTTTTAAATTAATTTCAACGGTGGTCTCCGTTAGTCGAAATTTCGATGAAAAATATTTCCTATAAAAGTCTATGCGTTTCGGTTCAAGTGTTGATACTGTTTCCGAATATGATAGTTAATTTGCTGAAATTTGAAGTTTTGATGATGAAAGTCTCCAAACACGAGGGCATTTGAAATGGGTTTTGCTACTGTCATCGAAAATTTGATTTTCTCAAGAAAGGAACAAGTAAGAAAAGAAATGCTACTTAACTTTTTTCTAGGATATATACCAGTTATAATGAAATAAAAATAGTGACTAAATCTTCACATCTAAGAAACTTGATTAGTTTCGAAGCCTACCCGTGCCCATCACATAGAGGTCACTAGGATAAAAAAAAACTAGTAGCCACATTATATTTCAATTGTGTCAAAAATATATTTTTATAGACAATATTGTGTCGTAAATCGGAAAAAACATCAGTAGAAATCGAAAACAACGTAAAAAACGTCACATGTCGATTTACCGATTAAAAGCAGCAAAAACAGGTGTTTTGGGAAGTTTGAATGTCGAAATTTTTTTTGACAGAAATCGTTTTTAAAACAAAAGAACCGCTTTCTCTACGTAAGACGTTGTGCTCTATTCAACCATGCATAAATATCGCGAAAAAGAACTGCTGTAATTTTGAATTGCGCGCACTTTACTAATATGTTTATGTTTTGTACTCATTATTTTTTTTAATGATTGTTTGCTGGAAAATATTATGTTAATACTGTTATATGTAAACTATCAAGTAAACAGAAGATCGGCCTGAAATAGAGTTCTTGTGCTCAATTGCTTGAGCTGTCCATACACACTAACTAACTACACGAGCATTTCTATGTCACAACGTAGTCAGTATGCTATTGAATGGATAGTCCGAGACAAATATCCGTTAGTGACCTGTCCAGATTCATTTCAGGACTGCTGGTACTGAAGTTTGCCCACAGTGTCTTATGAATACGTCTCGAACAATGTGGCCACTCAACCATGATTGTTCAAGTTACCTAAAGAAATGTGAATATAGCGCTATGGATTAAGAGTCCATATTCAAGCGTTACTATCACAATGATAAGAATATTCGTTTAAACGATTTTTGATTGTTCACAAACAACAGTTTTATATTTTCAAGATCATTACAGAATATCGAACTTAAATAGATGAAAATAAATCAATTGAACTAAAAGTGCATACTATCTACTGCTTCTATTATTAAACGTTAGATCAAAATGCATGTCATATACAACAGATGAAGGAAGCAATTGTTATTAGCATACAACACTAATATGATTCTAATGGAATAGAGAATATAACTTAATATTCATAAGGCAAGTTTAGTGCTTTTTATTAATTGGCATATTTTAAAAATGAAATATGTATATATATATGCAATTGTTAATGATACAATATGAACTTGATGATGACTAAGAGAATGAATAATCCTTTTGTTTACATTTCTCATTTTCATTAGACAGATAATGAAATTATTTATGCAACTTCCAAAGTCTGAATACGATCAGTTTGAATCGATACCGATTTTAATTCTTGATTAACATGAATTTATCAGATAAACAAGTAAAGATGTTTCTAAAGTAAACTATCAGCTTCCGTCATATGAATCAAACGTATTAACAACATAAACATTAAAATCTTCATTTTTTTAAATTTTTTATTCAAACAAATTTATTTAATAAAAATAAAGACTAAAAAAATTTATTTTAAAAATATTTTAATTTATAAAATGAAAACAATTTGAAACTCATCTTGAATTGTCATTGCATCCATTAAAGAATCGTCTATATAACCAAATACGATTTAAAATAATCACATAAAACTCTGATGTAAGCTAAATGTTTAAAAATAAATAATAAACTTCTTAATTACCTATGAATTTTACTTCCATTTGAAATATAAATCATCAAAAAACTCAAATCAATCTGTAGTATATAACCTAAAAGAAAACAAAATTTATCTTTCTTCATACCTGATTTTCATTAAATTCATATTCCACTACCATCTCAATGATCCAATTTAAAACCAGCCAACTTTAAATCTATTATATTCATAAATACAACCCAAAAGACATTTTTTCTTTGTCATCATTATATAAATCATTGATTATATGCTGAAAAAAAAGAATAGCAAAACCTATATTAATCTTTATACGAGATACTATCATTAAAGTTTATAACAAAACAATGAAACCGAACCTTTCGCCTCGAAGTGTTCTTTTCTCTCATAGAACTTCGATTATTTCCTTAATCATACTCTTTGATTTAGTCAATATGATAAAATAATATTAAATATTTGTTTTAATCATTATTATCTTCTCATTTCAGAATATGCATTAATAATATACAATAAGTTATAACCCGAGAAAAAAAACTTTGCTAAACTTTTTTTCATTTATATTAAATTACCTATGCTCTGTCTCGCTTTTTTTATTTCTTCCACAGAAATTTTACAGACGACTTTTAAACTCTTGATCTCTGTATTAAATAGATGCATCTGATATGCGATGGAAAATGACACTATATTGCTGACTAAGGACCAATCTAGAAAGGAGGAAAAGCCAAAAAGCAAACGCCTCTATCGATATAAGCTTTGTTGAAAATTTTAAATCAGCTTTTAACACTTAAGAAAAAAGATTGAAAAAAAAATCTCAATAAATATCGTTTTTATAGTTAAAAAATGATCAAGTAATCAGAACGATGAAATTTTTCAGTTGCATTCACAAAAAAAACAATATTTTGATATAAAAACAAAGAATAAATTTAATTTCCCAAATATATAATTGAAGAAAAAACCATACTTATTCTCTTTCATTCTTAAAAACAATAAAAGTAGAGAATGATGTTATTGTATGTTGAAGTAGCAAGAACTTTTATAGAGACATTTTCTTTTTCAACTGTCCATATTTGCTCTGCAAAAAATATGTTCGCTACAAAAATTTACTAACTCGAAATCATTTCATTCAACATAAATAAAGAAAATTGCTTGAATTGGAATTTTTATATCACATGTTATTTTAAATTTAACATTGTAAGTGTATTATTGACTATTTTTTCAAGTAATGTTATTCAATTTAATGAAGATCAAAAGAGTTCATATATTTTATTGAAAGCAGGTTAATATAAACATTGACATCTATCATGAGTATGCTTTTAGGGAAATGATATGTAATATAGTTGTATTTATAAAAATGATGATACTCGAAAAATTTATTGTGTCATTCATTTTTTTTATCATATTCCTATCAGATCAATAAGAATCAGAAAATCATGTTATTCCGCTCAATATTTATTATTGCTGTTCTTATTAATCTTGTTTATGCTATATTTGTTCAATCTGAACAAGCAAATCCTATTTCTTTACATCATCTACAAGCAAAATTTCCTTTAATTAATGATGAAGAAGCATCACAATGGCTTTCAACACGTAATATTCCACGTCGTTGGCGTAATCAAAATATGAATCAACCATCGAACGAAATTAATCAATCATTGAAAAAATTAGAAGCACTCAATAACAATGGTGTACGTCAATTTGATACACAATCATTCGAAGGTGTTTCCATGGAGGTTATATTCGAAATGGTTTCTAAACAACAGAATAATGGTGCACCCGGTTAAATTTCTTTATGTGAATTTTCTGTCAATATCTATTTTGAACACTAATAAAAAAAAAGGCCCAGCATACATATGCATCGAAATTCTTTGAAAAAAAAAACGAAATAAAAAGATATTATCTTTTCTGATCTTATTTGTTTTTTTATTGAACGTTATCTTAGTCATAAAGAATTTTTTTTTCTCCAAACGTCATACATACAATAGATAACTTGATGATGCAATTTATTCTCACCTTAGATATGATATGAATCGAATGTCAATAAAAAAAAGAGAATAACAATTGTTTTATAAACATGCTAATTTGTTATTGAAAACGAACACCATCTTTATCAATGTTTAGATAGAAACAAAATAAGATATTTTCATTTTCTTCTATTACATTCTTTTAATATTTAAATAGCCTCTCTTCTCAACGGGTGGTCAAAAAAAACAAAAATTAGGTCAAATTTTTGACGTAAGACGAAACGGCAAAAGTTGATTATCACTGTTGGAAGTATACGCTTCATTTAATAAGAAAGTTCTCTTTTTCTCACATAAGAATAAAACATCAATTTTTTTGTTCTATATTTCAAATCAACCTTCTACTGTCCATGTTTGATGTCAAAAAAGAAAGAATCAACTTCATACATATGTGTTCTGTCAAATAAACGAACCGAATAAAAACTCTCATCGGGATTGTCTTACGTATATAAATTACACATTTATCTAAAAATAAAAATTTTTTAACAGAATTGATCGGTATGTCGATTGTCTTTTAATAATAGTTCCACTACATTTAATATTCGATTTCAAAATAAAAAGACTTTGTCACGAATCGCTAAGCTCTCTTAAATCTAAATGTCGGCGCCGATAGTTATGTTGAATATAAAACGTTAATCTCATATCATCTACCATCTTTTTTATTTTTCAATTTAAATAAACAAACAAAATCAATCGCCTAAAGCACGCTCGCGCAATAATGTCGGTCTTTCATTTTCTTTTTTTTTTTTACAGATACAAATCGCGCTCAAAACGTGTCATCACACCTTGTCATTTTTTTTTCTTAAGAAAAATAAAATGTGTGGGAAAATAATGTTAAATATATACACATACAATTAACACATGAACAGAAAGAAAAAGAAAATGCTAATTTTTTTCATCGATTCTTATGTCATAAATTTGATTTAATTAAAATTAGAATATCTTTATAAAGTAAAATCTTTTTTTTATTTAAACTATTACATGAATTATTTGAAATGTTTAGAATATAAAAGATTTATTTTTTTAAGTTGACGAAGAAACAGTAGCGAGTTTAAAAAGAGATGATCATCTCTCTTTCGAACTATTTTACGATTTTTCCAGGCTAATAAATGTTTCATCAAAAAATTTGTTTGTTCGTATTGGCCCAGATTAATAGAGCATATCAAATTGCCTGTAAAATAGTAACATCTTTCTGTTTCAAATGTTTTGTTTTTACAGAAAATACAATCATTTTTTATTGATATAAGAGAGATACAACCCAATATTTCAATATAAAAATCTTTTTCCACTTAAAATTCATTTTTGGAAAACAGAAAAGATGATTGTCTTATAAACAATTCAATATACTCTATAATCTGAATAGATCAAATATGATTTCATCGAAATAGTTGTTAGTCTAGAAAACCAGTGTCTAATGATCTAAAGGCATTTCTTATAGTCATATTCGGCGTCAGCATGGTCGATAACTGATAATTCAGTAAGTTTTAATAAGTGTAACAGTTGATCAATTGAGAATGTTTCTTCATCAGCAGATAGTTTTCTGCTAATAGTTCAAGATTTTCACAGACAAAGCGTTAAAAATTGTGATCGTTCACCAGTGCGAAGAAAATATCCAGTTTACTCAATGATATTGTTATGCATTACTTCAGTGATGAATTTATATAAATTCTTTATTTTTTTAAAGTCAATATAAATTCCTATAGTCTGAAAAAAAACAAGTTAAGATATCCATGTATTCAGCATACTTGTGTTAACTCGAAACATGCGTTTTGATTGTGAACAGCTACGACGTAATTATAATATTTTTTTCTTTCTTTCTTTTTTCTTCTCCTCCGTCTCTTATTCTATCATATCCAATCATTTTGTTAATGTTCATTTCTAGTTTGATATCGCAAAAAGGAAACGTATACATATAACGATGGAACAACAACAACTAATAACAATGTTTTCTATTGAAAAATCTTTCTATTTAAATAAATCTATAAAATCTCATCCAAAACGTCGATTTATTGCTGATATTATTCATAAAGTTTGCATTTATTTTCTTATTAAAATAGATTTTTTTTCGAAAATGAATAATTTTTTCTTTTTTTTGGTTTTAGTTAAATGATGATGAAAAAATGTCTGATGATATATTTGCATTAACAATGTATATATTTGATAGATTTATTTTAAAATATTCTTTATCAATAAATGATCATGATTGGCAATTAATTGCATTATCTTGTTATAATTTAGCTAAAAAACTTCGTACTAATATATTAATTAATAATGAAAATGAACAAACATCATGGATATTTTCAAATGAAAATTACAGTGATGAAGAAATATTTGTAAGTCATTTTCAAAAAAAAAAAAAAACAAAGAATTTTCAAAAAAAAGAAATCTTATTTTAGAATACAGAACAACTTATTGTCGAAACATTAGATTGGGATTTATCAATTATTGTTCCACATGATTATATTCCTTTAATATTTCAATCTTTTCTATTAAATGAAACTGATCAAGCTAAAATTCGTTTACATGTTCAAATTCTTTTATCAATTGGAATATGTGGTAAAGTTAAATTTCAACAAAATAAATAAAAACTAATCTTTCCAATAGCGAGCGGACCTAGGAGAGGCTGAGCCTCCTTTAGTTTCGTCACTGAATCTTTCATTATTATTTTTTCTTTGTTTTTCTTTTTAGAATTAAATACATTAACAATATTACCAAGTATCTTATGTTGTGCTTGTATAAAAGCAGCAATAAAAGGTCTTTGTATAATAAATATTCATCAAATCGATGAATTATTATTAAAAATAATTCATTGTAATAAATCTGATCTTATAAATACACAACGTATAATTGAACACTTATTTCAATATTGTGTACAAGAAATATTTCCATCACCAAGACGTCGTTGTTTAGTACCAATTGATACAAACAATAAGACAAATCCAAGTCCACGTGTTAAATGACGAAAAAAAAAAATTTTTTTTTTTTTATTATAATTTTTCATAGTTTTTTTGTTTTATTTTGTACACATTATTTTCTTTGCAAGAGACTAAATTTTTCTTTTCTATATACAATAAATGAGCATTCGATTTGTTTAGATTTAAATAAATATTGAATTAAAATTATGTCACGTTGGACATACACTTGTTAATGACACCTTCAGTTTTTTTTTTGTTGTTTTTGTTTATTCAAATGAAATGAAAAGATAAATTCTTTTTTAATGAATTCATATGATGTAATTGTTCAAGGAATAATGCTGATGAGAAAAAGAAAAAGCTACTTCAAGAAAAACAAAAAACACTTGTTCTGATGATACAATCACTTTAGATTAATAAGAAATATCTTTTACTTTCGATTGATCAATGACTTAAATAATATCCTGTGGAGAAAGAATAAAAGAAGTTAAATCATTTATTTTCAGCAGACAACATGCTGAGAACATGGAAAAGAACATTTCACTCAACTGTGTTCAATAAAAAGAACAATAATAGATCAGAAAAATGATAGCCGTTAAGTTACGCTATTTTTTTTTTAATGTTTTTTTTTCTTTAGACTTCAGTCAGTAAAATAAAAAAAATGTTCAATGTTATATGATAAATTTTCTTTTTACACTTATGTTATTATCTACAAGCGATTATTTATCTTTATATTTACATTTGAAAAAAGAAAACATGTAGATCATTTTCGAGTTTGTAAAATAGTCTTATCAACTTATGATATTGAACAAATAGAGTATAGAATTTCATTCGTTTTGACTTCAGCTTCATCGATAGTATGTTTATATACTATCGAAAGATAGAACTAGGAATTTAGTTATTTCCAATAAATATCAAATGAATTAAGTTTTGATAACTAATCATAAAAAATTATAAGCACAGCCCATTTAAGACTAAAATATGGAACTAATATGTGTTCTTTAGTTCCATGATATTAATGGGTAATTCCATGGAGTTTATACCACTTTTTGGAAAACGCGTCGATTTACGAAATATTCATTGTTGTGCTAGAAAAAATCGAAGACTATCACTAAAAATATGTTGCCTTATCCAATGACAGCGTGAAAAGTTAATATAATACGAACACATCGAAATTACAAGCTACCAACTTTAAGATTTTGTCAAAATACGAGGAAGAACGTCTACATTTACTAGGAACTTTCTCGAGTTTTTCTTTGAAAAAATCACGAATTTTATATGGAAATTAGCCATACATGTACCTCACATTTTGACAATATCTCAAAATTGCCAGCTGGTGATTTTGGTTTCTTCGTGTTATATCAACTTTTTACGCTCTCATCGGATAAACTAGCGAATCAAAACACTGATTGGAAACCTGTTCCAGGAAAGTGGTATAAATCCGGTGGAATCACCCTAATACAAAATACGTTAAATGAAAGTCTCTATCAGATTATAGTTATTTACCCAGGATAATCGGTTGCTAGAGAAATGATTTCTGCATTTCGAACAGAATCTTGTTTTTTTTTTTACTGGCGTTTTATTTTTTGCTTACTTTGTTGCTTTTCTCTTTTGTATTCCGTTTTAATTTAGCCATTGATTTAACTGACAAATAAATCTGTTGTAGATATGCATTATATCTATAACAGATCTCAATGCACTATTATATACTGAAATAAGTTCACAAACACTACTATTGATTATTTCCCATAGTTATAATTTGATCAGTTCATGTTTTTTTTTATATTGATCATATGATGACTGCAACCAATCACTAATCATCCTATTTGACATCTTAAACATAAATTTTTATCTGCGCAAAAATCAAAAAACAGTACTATTTAAAATATTCATAAATGTATTCCAGCCATTCAAATTTCGCGAATGGCTTTGGAATATTCTAGAACAATCTAAGTCTTTTTGTTAATGCCTTTTTCCATTGCTAAGAAACTCTATTGTCCTCGGTTACTATGGATACATATCCAATAATCGTTGACTTTGCCTCATTGCTATGGAAAGGAGAAGGATAGCCGCAAAACCTCGACTTAAAATTTACGCTCACTAACTTTCACAAAATAGCAACGTATTTTATTATTTACTACTTCTTACACGTGTAGCTTAAATTCGATTAACATATTCTTTGGTTCTTTTATTTTTAAATCATTCTTCATATATTCCAATCATTCGATTAGAAATATAACTCTCAACATCGATCTTATAACATTTATCTATTAGTTAATATTTCTAAATACAAAAAAAAAACACACAAACAATTAGTTAGTTTTCTTGAAACAATTCACGTGTAAATTTTCGTCTATATTACACAAATACGTATATAAAGACGAAAGAAAAAAACCAAGAGAGAATATACAAATACATTATTAAGAATAATATCAATAAAAACATCTCTCAAACTTGATTCTAATTAAATATCTTAATTTGTTTTCTATGTGCATGAATTTCTTACAAACAAACAGGAAAAAAATTACAAAAACATAGTCCAAGACAAAAAAAAAACGAGGAAAAAGCATTTTCTGAAAAAAAGAAACAAATTTTTATTTTATCAGTATCTCGGACGTTTTCGATCAAATCCTTGTAGTTGTTGTTGTTGTTGTTGTTGTTGATTAAAATCAACTCCACCTGTACGTATATTAGGACCTGTTGGTAAATTATATCCACGTGCTACTTGATTTGTTGTATAAGCAGCATCTATTGGTGATGATTGTTGAATAAATGTTGTCGGATTTTGATATGGAACTTGTTGAAAATTATTATATTGATAGGTAGATGCTGTTTGATTTTGATGATATGCATTACCTACAGAAACATTATATGCATCAGGATGATGCATTGGCATCATATTACGACGACGTTCAAAATCATGTGATCGAAGTTCGTCGATTCGACGAAGATCTTCTTGACGACGTGTTAATTCTAGAAACAACATAACACACACTTACCATACAACGAACTTAACATCAATCTTTTTTTTATATGTTTCATTGTGATTAATATAATCACAATAGAAACAGAGTTATATGATTAAAAGATTTCTGGATAGACAAAAAGAAAAACGTCAACTAATCTCTTTTAGTATCTGCCAAAAATTTGGCAGATAGATGTTAAGTTTTTATAGCTAAGGTGGCTGAGTCCGCGAAATGCAGCAGTCGATATATTGCTTTTCATCATCTACTCGATGCGCATCAGTCACTCATTCTCAGCATCATTTCAAATCGGAAAAAAAAGCTTGCTGAAATCGTATGAATGTAACGAATGCACATCTACAATCTGTTTTTCAAAATTCGACGATATTCAAGAGATATAAATATGCGAAAAACGATAATTAACAACTGATAGTTTCTTTATATGCGGATGCATGATTCGATCTTACAACAACTATTTATATCTTAAATGTTAGTTGCATACATATAGTTTCATTATAGTCTTTTGTTAGTTAAAATTATTCACGACGAAATCTCAAGCGTCTAGAAAAAAATTTTGATATGATTTATATCGATCAAATAAAAGAAACGATAATAATTAATAAATAGAAAAAACAAAGAATATGAAAGAAAAAAAAAACAAACAAATTGCATTCGATAGAATATCATCCGTAAAATATTTATTATCTTACATTTATTCTATAAATCATAGACACAAATAACTTGATAGAAATATCTAATATCTATTGATTATTTTTTAAATAAAAATAAACTTCTACGGATACCAACAGAAGTCAACTGTCTTCTCTACTCGAATGTATTGAAAAATCAATTATTCTTTTCTGTTATTTTAAACATATTAACTCTCATTTTATAATGAAATTTCATATACACAAAAATAAAACCAATAACAATTATTCGACGAATTCATTCAACTAAAATTCGAATTCTTACGTCAATACATATATTACTTCAATAAATATCTACATTTCTAATTTTTTTTTCTATTATGATTACTTTCCAAATCAATAAAAACAAAATAAAAATCTTTGGTTTTTTTCTTCTTTGTTTAAATTTCCTACCGTCTCTTAATGCTTGTGCTTCATGTTCTAATAAAATTTGATTTATTTCAACTTGTAATTGTTCCGATGCATATTGCATACGTTTTTTAACTTCTTCTAATAATTGTTTTTCTTGTATTTCTAATTGTTTCCATTTAAGACCAATTGTATATTCAATTGTATTTGGTTCAGCAAAACGTGGCTGTATTTCTCGTTCTCTAAAGAAAATTTATTTTAATTTATTAATATTATTAAATAGTCTATATTTAATTTACTTAAAATATATATCATTACGTATTAAGGATTTTTCTGGTAAACCATCATCTTCATCTTTCATATCCCATGGTTCAACAATAATTGGTTTTAAGTCCCTTTAAATAGGAAAAAACAAAATACGCATGAATCGAAGAGTCACTACACAATCAAAGATTACAGAGTTTCATTAGTATTGTTTTTTATAAAAACATTGAAGATTTATATGTGTGAAAACAAACAAAAAAAAGACACGTGAAGAATAATAAAATATTCGAAATTAGAAATATCAACATATATCGTCGATTAAGTAATTTTGATTCGTTAAAGATTAATAGTTGAAAAATTAAAGAAACAAAAGAAAAATGACATTCATTTTATTTTTCAGATTACAAATTGCAAATGCTTGTGTTTTAATTTGTAAACAAAAGAATAATATTATTTCTTGTTAAATTAAGAGAATGATCAGAGTCAAAATTTTCAATTGTGAATATTGTCGATTTTACTACTGTCCAGAAATGTTCTAAAATCGTTAGGAAACTTTGAGCGTCGTTTTGGGCAATTGATAATGAAAATTTTTCAAATTTGGAAGCAGAAGTCATTCCTCGATTTCACACTCTACCGTGTACATCCAGACGGACATTAGATGAAAAAGAATGAAAGTCACACTTATAAATATACTTTGAAACATATTCAATTTATTGATAAAAAATTTCTTATTACGAATTTTAAGCAAAGTAGAACAACCGAAATTCAAAAATTAGGATGAAAACACCGATATCAATAAGAAAACCAATTTTAAATCACCTGATAGGCATACTCAGTAGATATTCTGAATCCGCATATCGTCTGAAATCGAACATCGAAGAAATCTATTAGTTTGAATGCGCGCGCCAATCCACACCTGCTCAAACTATATCAGAATACTCTATTCTGTATCTTTCTTTTTGTCAGACTCCAAAGCATGAATAATATATATTCGCATTCCTTACATGAAACTACATCGGATAATGTATAACACAAGACATTTTCTAATCGAGAATGAAAATTCTATATCTGGTTGTCATGTGAAAAATATACACACTATGTATTGAGAACATTTCCTTATTTCTATCTATTCTTAAATATCAAAAGATGTATATTTAAAAATTTAAATTATTTATTTACCGTGTCATAAAGAAACATTTTTCTGTACATTCATTAAGACATTTTTGTGCTGATGGTTTTTTTTCAAATTCAACAATACCTTCACCAGTTGATTTTCCTCGATCATCAACAATAATAACAGCACGTTCAACACCACCAAAATATTGTTCAAATGCTTCTTTAAGTAATTCATTTGATACATTCATTGATAAATTTTTAACTTTAACAATTGCACCTTGACTTGCAAAACGAATACGTAATGGTTTACTACGTAAAACATGACCATCAAGATCATTCTTAGCTTGTTCAGCTAATTGTCTTGAACTCTAAAAATTAATTTAATAAAAAAAACAAAAAATAAATAAAATTAACATACAAGTTTAACAAAACCAAAACCACGTGATGGATTTACATAATATTCAATAAGTTCACCATATTTATTAAATAAAGTTTGAAATTCTTCTTGTGTTAAATCCGATGGAATATTACCAATAAATAAACGTGAACGGCCACCTTGTGAGGTTTTTTGTGATGTTGCAGTATTTGTTTGTTGATCTGGATATGGTCGTTTTTGTACACCAGTACCTACTGGTCGTTGTTCATCCATAGGTGTAACATTTGTTGGAGTATTTGTTTTATTATCAATAGAAGTTGTTTGATTTGATGTTGTTATACTAAAATTTAATGAAAATTATTTTATAAAAAATTGAACAAAAACAAAAATATTTTTTTTTTTACGATGAGCTATTTTGTTCAGCTTTTCCTGTCTGATTTTGAATAGGCGATTCTGACGTAGTTATTGGTGCTGGTGCAGAACTAAAAAAAAAGGATTTTTTTTTAATGGAAAAACTGATCTTTTCAGAAATATATACGTATTGATTTCAGTCGATGGTTTATTAGGATGTTGTTGGATATTATTTGGTTTGGGTAGTTGAGGTCTTTAAAAAAAAAAAGATTTTATTGGATTGTTTTTCTTTCTTGTTAAAATTATTTACCGAATATCAGCGAAATTATGTCGTGGAATATTTCGATTTGATGGTGGATTAAATCTATAATAGATTTAGAATGTATGAAATAAACGAATAAAATTTTATTTTACCGTGGACCAGAACGATCATTTGTTAGAGGTCGTGTATAACGAACACTTTTATTATAATTAGCCATGAATTAAATATAAATTTTTCTTACTTAATAATTTGAATGAAAAAAAGATAAAAGAAAAATGTTCAATTAAAATATTTGAATAGAATCATGTAATAAATTTTTCATTCGCCATTTTTATATTGATTTCTTAATTCCTCTATTAAGATTAAATGATTTTGAAAAATATTTAAAATTAAAAATAAATTTTTTTATTTATTTTAATGAAAAATTTAATTAATAAAATATGAATATGAAATATTTAAAATAACATTGAAAGTAGCGCTCTTTATTTCGATTGATTGTTAAAGTTAACCATCGATATGATATATCAAATGAGTATTCATTTATTTCTTAAGGTATTATTAAACTAGAAGTGGTCTATTTCATGCAAGAGATCTTGTATTGAAGTTAATAAGATTGTTATGAGATTGAAGTGTGGAAAATTAATTTCTTTTTGTTATTAAAGACATTCTATTAAAAAATTCTTTTCCGTGATCAAGTTAAGACAAATTCTGAATGGCGTCGTTAGATGGATAATTTCTCTTTTGAGTAAAATAAAACATAGACTATTTGATTATGATAAAATAAAAGAAATTTATTTCATTTATTGAATTATAAATAATTTCATAGAACAGAGTAATATTGTCATCATATTTTTCATGCAATATTATATCGTATATACAATTCATTTATTTGATATTAAATAATTCAGATAACACCTTGAATTATTTGTAGAAATAAAACGATTATAATTTCATTTTCAGATTTGATTATTTGAATAATGTCATCAGAAGATACTTCAACTTCAAATCTTTTTCTTAATGAATTTTCTGATGTATCTTCATATAAAGATGTAAGAATAATTTTCCAATTAAGAAAACAAAAAATTTAATAATTTGATTTCCTCAGACTGCATGTTCAATGGTAATGAAATTAATACGTTCATCAAATGATTTATCTCGTGCAAGTGATCATGATTTTTTAATGAGTTTTGCTCCACTTCGTCGTCGAATGGATACAATAGCTGAAAAAGTTTTACAAAAGTAAAAAAATACAATAAAATTTTCTCATTTCTTTAAAAATAAAATAATTCTTTTTATTTTTTTTTCTCGATTATATTAGTATGAATTCTTTATTGAAACAACAGAATTTACGTCGTGATTTGGGTAATGTATCATGGAAAGAAGCTGATCATGATGATAAAATTGAAAAATTAATTGATATTAATGATATTCTATTCGAACGAATTGTAAATTTTGTATTTTTATTTTTCCTAATAAAAAAATTTTCTTTCGTATTCTTTTTTTTTTTTTAGTCTTCATCTCTTGATGAAGCAACAGGATTAAAAAAAATTTCATCTGAAGTAAAATCACTTGTTCCATCGATTCGTAATGTTCCTGCAACATGGAATAAAGAAGTAAAAATACAAAAGAAAAAAAAATGAACCATTGTTTTTATTTTTCTATTGTTACTTTCTTTAGGATGGATTTGTTTTACAAGAAAATATACCTTCATTAAAACAACAACAAAAACGTAATTCAAATACATTTTCAATAAATCATCAACAAACAAAAAATATTCCTAAACCACAAATAAAATTTACTGATAAAGTTGATAATAGTTCTCATATTCCATTTATTCCAAAACTTCGAACAAAACCTAATGCTAAAACACCATTACCAAGTAAATTTTAAATTTTCTTTGTTTGTATTTTTCTTGAAATTTTTCTTTTAGTTATGTTATCACAATTAGATTCCCGTTCATTTGATATGCTTCTATTAGAAAGACATCCAGAAATGTGAGTATTATGTTTTTTTTATTTAATGAAACACTATCTAAAATGGGTAGAGAAATAGAAATTCGAATCTACAGACCATGACAGAGATTATTGATATACAATTGAAGACTGTATATCAATAATGTCTCGTTGTACTATATATGAACTGCTTTCTTATTATAGTTCTGGAGGATTAAGTCAAAAGGCTGATAAAGATATGTAGCCTAATAAAATAATGTCGGTGTGAGTAGCAACAGCAGTGAAAATCGTGTTTCATATTTTAATCCCATAGGGATTGCATTAATAACTTTTTTCTTGTTCTGAGATAAATTAAGAATTGGATTTTATACATTTTAGATTACTCCATCCATATTTTGATGAAATTGAAGCATTTGAACCAAATGAAAGTTTATTAAAAGAAGTCAAAGTTCAGGTATAGATAAAGTCTAAAACAAAAACCATTTTTGATGTTTATTATAGAAATGAAAAGATTTACAAATTTTGAGTAAATAGATTGATGTTTTTCAAATCATAAGAATATAAATATGAGCAGTCCAATAAATTTACTATTAATATTTTGGCTTTTTCAGAAACGTAAATAAATATTGATGGAGATCTAGAAAGTAGACATATTAAAAAGTCGATAGCTCTGTCAAATCTTAATAGAAACCCAAATCATCTTAGAGTTTTTCTTAGAACACTATGTAGTATCTATAAGCAAGAAAGTCATTGAAATCAGAAGGAATCAGCTGAAGATGTTCCCTTATAAGCACGAAAACAGAACTAAAAACGATTGGTTTCGTTCATATTTATCTTTCATTGAAATATTTCATCGACAAAATACTTTAACAATACACGTAGCATTCTATATTTTTAAAACTATTGTTGTAGAGAAAGATAACTAAATTCTACTCATATTTATATTTTTATCGTTCGAGAAATATA